ATCATCTTTTAATGATGTTAATTTGATGGTTCATTTCTTGTATTGATAGATATTTAAAGGTCAGGTCAGTACTAACTTTTGAATTATGGACTTTGAGAAGTCAAATGTTTGGGACGTGAATCTACTCATTAGATTGAATAGGTATTGCTAATAAAGGAACATTTCATTGATTTATTGATTATAACGGTCAAATTGAGTTGAATGGAAGTGAATCTAATGTTGATTCATCGTGGATGGGTAGTTTCGCCACGAAGTGGTGCAACTACCAACCTTTGTAGATTGAATCAGGTTGATTTGCATGCAATATGAATAAGTAACATTATCAAGAGTGATTATTCACCAATTCAATGATCAATATTCAATAATCGGTTTGATTTCAATCAATAGCTTGATCATCAAGCTTTGAATTAATATTCCAGTAATTAACGGCAGTCTATTTTTAAATTTAATCAAAGACCATATATAGTAGCTTGACTTTTATGATGTGGAAACTATCTAGATGTGTTCTATATTGAATAATCTATTTGAAAATGAGATGAATTAACTCTTCTATTGAGTTTTATTGGTATTGGATGGTATTACGGTTATAATAATCTACACAGAACTCACTCTTGAAATATAAACTGTACTACAATGTATGAGAAACATAATGGTGGTAGAATTATTCAACAACTCGTTGAAATGACTGAGATGGAATGTAAACTATGGTCTATTTGTCATGTAATGGTGACTAGACAGTGTCAATTTCATCAAATTATATCAAACTGATTACATTCAATAATAAACCGTTCTATACATCATGTGTGTCATACAGAATGAGTTTCAATATTTAATATTGTGAACTGACTCTGTTGGATACCATCTCTATAAATATAACAAGATGAAAAGTGTCAACATTCAATTACACATATGGAGTGTCACCATTGTATCATCTAGACAGATAGCATTTCAAGTTTTAGTGGAATTGACAGTCTAGATATTGAGATGTGTATTCTAAGGTTTAAGAAGTGTCACCTTCACTGATTAGTGACATGACTATAACAATTGAACATATGATTCTTGTATCAATAATTCATTGTTCAATGATTGTGATATGATGGTAAAATTTAATTTTGGAAATATGATTCTTCCCTATTGACAACCTTTCACAATTAACACTACTTAAAATAGATTATAATAGAATTAATTTAGAAAGTGCCAAATATTTAACTCGTTTACAAAAGTTAAAACATATTTCCTTATATGCTAATTTGAAATTTGAAGAGAAAGCATTGGATTATATTAATCAATTGAAAGAATTGCAATATTTAGGAGTTTACAAAAACAATATTCGTGTTAGTGGTGCTGAAAGTATAAGTAAAATGAAATATTAAATATTTGTGAAAATAACATTGGTAGTGATGGAGCTGAACATATTAGTGAATTGAAACAATTAACAAATCTTAATATTGAAAATAATCGAATTAAAGATAACGGTGCTAAATGTATTGGTAAATTGTCTCAGTTAAAAATTCTTAATATTGCCAAAAATAGAATTACTTTTGGTGCTATGTATCTTTTAGCATTGAAACAGTTAACAAATCTTGATATTAGTAGAAATGATTTACAAGCTTTGGGATCCTTTTTCGTTAGTGAAATGAAACAATTAACAAATCTTGATATTAGCTTGAATAATATTGGAACTCAGGGTGCTTTAAATATTAATCAAATGAAACTAGTAAATCGTTATCGTTTTGATTGATCGGTTAATTTAAACAATAATAAATATATTAATAATAATTAAATAATATTTTAATAATCTTTATCATATAATTGTTAACAGAATTTTACACAAAATCTGTTCCAATTACATGTTATTATCTTTGTAATATTTTAACGTAAGTTTTGAATTGAATTGTAAACTCGTTTAGTAACACTTGTAAAAGTACCATCATCTATTTTAGAAATTGAAACTCTTTCCATTGACTGAATAGATGCTTTGAATTTTGATTGATAAACTTGTCCTCTCTTTTCAGTTGCAAGATTAAATGGTTCCATTGGTACATTTCTATGATTATTTGTAGTAGTAATAGCACTCTTGAGTGTTGATGAATTATTAAAATCTGGCATTGGTCTTGCCTTGAAAGAGTGTGGTAATTTTGGTCCAATAATTGTTGATGCTACACACGACGATGCTACAGATGCTGAGGAAAGAATTGAATCTTTAAATGATGATTTAACTTTTGTAATATTTGGTGAAACTGGTACAGTAACTGGTTTGTGTAAAATCTTTGATGTATCTACATTTGTATAGTGATGAAATGGTCTAGCTTTAAATAC